AGCATGGGTTTTTATCCAACCATTACCAGACCAAGTAGGATTACATCTCAGAGCGCTACCCTTATTGATAATATTTTTACAAACAATATATTTTCCTGCATGTCAAGCGGCTTGGTGATATGTGATATAACAGACCACTTGCCGGTTTTTTTGGTATCTGATACAAAATGCACTATAAGGCAAAACTTTATAGATCACAGCATGAAACGATTACAAAATGAAGATAATATAAATGCACTGAACAATGCTTTGATGCAGCAGGACTGGAACAACATTTACAGGGAAACAAATGTCGACAGAGCATATGAAATCTTCCTAAATACTTTCATTGCACTGTACAATCAATACTGTCCAATACAATATCACAGTAATAGAAAAAGGAACACAAAGTGTCCCTGGATAACCAGAGGACTAAAAAAGTCATGTAAAAAAAAGAATAGGCTTTATGGAAAATTCCTCCGATTAAGGACACAAGAATCTGAAAGCAAATATAAGAATTATAAAAACATGTTAACACAGATTATAAGAGCAAGTAAGAAAATATATTATAAAAATCTATTGGATGTAAACAGAACAAATATCAAAAAAGTATGGGGCATATTAAATGGAATAATTAAAAATAATACTAATAAGGATACATACCCAAATTATTATATAGAAAAAGATAGTGAAAACTATAATATGAATGAAGTCGTCAATAGCTTTAACAAATTCTTTGTAAATGTTGGACCAGACCTTGCATCGCAAATCCCGGTGACTAACTGTAGTTCATCTAGCATTAGCAGAAATTTAGACACAATGTTTCTACCACCGGCTAGTGAAGATGAAGTAATTAGTGTTATAAATAGATGTAAAAATAAAACGTCAACAGACTGCAACGGAATTGGTATGACACTTAAAAAAGTTGCTAGGAGCATATCAAAACCACTTACATTTATCTGTAATCTATCCTTCTTAACGGGGTTATTTCCAAATAAAATGAAACATGCTAAAGTAATACCTATCCATAAAAATGATAACAAACACATTTTCACAAACTATAGACCAGTCTCACTTTTGCCCCAATTTTCAAAAATTCTGGAAAAATTGTTTGATAGCAGGCTTGAAACATTTATCGATAAACACAACATAATCCATGAAAGTCAGTACGGGTTTAGGAGGAACAGATCATCAACAATGGCTATAATTGAAGCAGTGGAGGAAATCACACAAGCCTTAGACAAGAAGAAATATGCAGCAGGGATATTCATAGATTTCAAGAAAGCTTTTGACACATTAAATCATAGTATACTAATCAATAAACTGGAATTATATGGAATAAGAGGAATTGCCCACAATTGGATCAAAAGCTACTTAACAGACAGAACGCAGTTTGTGAAAATGGGAAACTACACTTCTGGATACTTGAGCATAGCTTGTGGTGTTCCTCAAGGGTCAATATTAGGACCAAAATTGTTTAATTTATATATTAACGACATGTTTAGCATTTCCAGTTCACTAAAGATGATCCTGTTTGCGGATGATACTAATATTTTCTATTCAAATAATGACTATACCAATCTTATTAATACAATTAACTCGGAGCTAGCCAAATTAAAATCATGGATGGATGCCAACAAGCTCTCTCTGAATTTAAGCAAAACGAAAGTTATGATGTTTGGCAACTACAAAATCAAATCAGATTTATTTATAAACATAGATGGTGTCAAAATTGATAGGGTGTCTGAAAACAAATTTCTAGGTATAATAATGGACGACAAATTGAACTGGAAACCCCACATCAGACACGTACAGACCAAGATCTCAAAATGCATTGCAATAATAAATAAAACCAAATATATCCTTGACTATCATGCTTTGAATTTATTGTATTGTTCGCTTGTGCTGCCCTACTTAAACTTTGGTATTGAGGTGTGGGGAAACAACTATAAAAGTCTACTACATCCCCTCAAAATATTACAAAAACGTGCAATAAGAACAATCAACAAAGTGGGCTATCTCGATCACACTAATGGTTTATTTTTAAAATCAAAACTCTTAAAATTAGAAGACCTGGTTAATCTTAACACTGCACAACTGCTGTTTAGAGCTAATTCAAAAACTCTACCAGCCAATATTCAAAAGACATTTATTAAAAAAGAATATGAGCGTAACTTGAGAAGATGTAGTAACTTTAAACTCCCAGCCGTCAGGACCACAAGGAGGAGTTGGTGTGTATCTGTCTGTGGGGTGAAGCTCTGGAACAACCTGAGCCAGGAGCTGAAGCAATGCTCAAGTATCCAGCAATTCAAATCACATCTTAAAAAGATGATATGGACAAAATATGAGAGAGAAAAATACTAACAAATCACTACAGGGTCAATAGTAACTGTTTTGGGTATTACCAGTATGGGTATAAGAGCATTCATGATCACCATTAAAATAAAATACATAAAATAACAGGGTTACATATGTAGTTATGTATATGAAAACAGGTATATGTATGTTGTTGTGTGTGTGTCTATATAGAGAACATTTAATATTTAATTTGTAGTTATGTATGTGATAATATGTGTATGTCTGCTTGTATGTTTATATTTCTGTATAGAGAACACTTAATATTTTATATATTGGTGTACTAAATGTAGAAATACGTGTGCAGCAGTGATTGGTGTTGCTTTGGTGGGCATTGGCGCAGTCTCTTAGGCTAGTTCTGTGTCTCGGGAGGTGGTTTCTGTGGTGGTGGCTGGTGGTGTGGAGGGGCAGTGGACACATGTCATAGTGGCGTTCTGTGGACACGCAATCAGGAATGACCTCACTGTCTAGAATCCATTTGGACATACAAAAGAGTATGAATTGAAAATAAAATATGAAAAAAAAAATATATATATATATGTGTAAAAGAACAAAAATTAAAGAAAGTATCTTCTGCCTGAAGGTGGAGCTAGGACAGTCACGGTGGTGATAATCGGCTCTATCCAAGGTAAAGAAACTGTAGAATTAATCAAATGCCTTTTCATTTGAAATAATAAAACAATGGTATGAATGATCAGTGAGGCTGTTGCTCATGGTGTAGTTGGAGCCTGCTGTGCGTTGGACTATTGTTCCTCTGCATGATTGGTCTACTGCTGTGGCGGCTGCTTCTTGTGACTGGAGTTGGCCTGAGTTGGGGCGCTGGGCCTTGCTGGGGCACAGTGATCACTGTTACAGATGTAACTTTATAAAAGTATTAAATCGCACTGAACACGAGAAATTATTATTAAGGTATTATTTATTCAATGCTAAATAACAACATTCTTGCATGTTTTTGAATTATGTTTATGGGGTGGGAGTCGACAAGTTTTTACTTCCTTCCCACTCCATTTCGAGCTGACAAATTGTAAATAGAGGTTCATTTGTGTATTGATATTGCGATGTATAACACATGGTGTAACTAGGGAAACTATTGTTGCTTGAATGTATAAAGAATCATCTAAGGAATGTAAATATTGTAAATACTTATGATTGTAAAATTTCTGCTCGAATGAATAAAAAATCAATCAATCAATCAATCAATCAATCAATCACCTGACCTCGGTCCTTATGAGGATCAATGCAGCCTTGTTCAAAGCCCCTTTAAGAACACCCACTGCTAGCATGTCTTCACGTTCTTAGTCTTCTCTGAGTCATGTTTCGCATTGCGCTTTGGGAGATGAAACATCAGGTCCCATCAGGACAGTATCTACAGGTTAGTAATGGGGCTAAGTGCACCTCTAATGCAGAGGGTGGATCAGGAGCTGTGGAGGCTGCGGAGTCTTGGTGCTGAGCTATGGGAACAAACATTAAAGACTGAATTCATTGCATGTGATCACGCTAATGCTACTGTTGACATGTTTCCTTTGTCTTATGTTTTATGCCTGTTGCTGCTCAAGTGAACTGCCTCTGATCGGATAAGTCAAGTATTCAGAATCTGAATCTGAACTGAAATTTTGTGTGTCTGTATTGTGTGCTGAGGTGACAATGGCATATGTGTATGACCTGGGGTCCATAACTTTCAAGCCACATACATAACTTTCGAACAACATACAGTATGAAATACAATCCATGTCACTAGTTCCTGGCTCTAAAAACAGTTTCTTCCTTCACTGGTTTTCTCATGCATGCATTTTGACCTCTGTCACATATTTAGATCAGCTTTTTATGACAGCAAAGTGAAAAATAGAGGACCACACTCAATCAAATTAGATAATATACAATAACTCTTGTCCTATTTTTGCCCTGTTTCCACCAGCCCTAATCTACTCTACTTTCCCTTTATGAAGACTGTTTCCACTGATCCTGAGCAACCAGTGCCAGGGATTTCTTTAGTCCCTCTTGGTTCTGGTTCTATCCAAGTCGAGCTGGTACTAAAGTGTTGTAACTGACAGTGGTTGGCCAGAGTACTGCTGGAAGCCATGGTTACCGAAGCATTTTCCCGTATTCTGGTTTGTTGTGAATAGGTGTCAAGGAGTAGAGAAGAGTAGAGTAAAGTCGGGTAGAGCATCGCACAGCCTCAGTCATGAATCTCAAATGGTTTCTCCCTTTTTCCCACTGGGTTTCTGAGTGTTTCCTCTCTGATGCACGAGGGTCTCAAGACCAATGGAACTTTTTGATTCTCTGATTTGTGTTTGCGCAAATCGACTAGTGTGTAAAGCCCGCCGAGACGACTGCTTTTAGGATTTAGGACCGTATGTTTATAATCTGAATTTAATTGAAATTGAATGAATGAACGGCTAAATACACTAGATTGTAGCTTTTTAGATGTCCCACAATCCCACACACGAACGCACACTGCTTCAACCCTCACCTGTTGTGTACACATGCCCTTTAAATACTGGCCTTACTGAAATCTGGCCTTGTTCCCATTGCGTCACAGCGCCATCAACAGGCCTGGCATAGTATAAAAGTGTTTTGCCTTTGTTTATATGTAACCTCCGTTCTCCAGGTGTGGACCCTCTTCCCCTCTTCCACATTCTGATCATAGCAGCAGCTTTCAGGCCATTTCAAACAACAACTTCAACCTCCTCATTATTTTTCCAAGAGCTGAGAGGGGCCGAGCAGAGATCCACACCAGGGACTCGGCTCGGCGGACTAACCCAGGACGAGTGCACTGATCCTGGGAGGAGAAAGCCAGGGGGTGGAGGGAGGGTGGGGGTCTCGTTAAGGAGTGCAAACAGAACTGACAGAATCACAGCTGAGGTGAGGTGTGTGCGAGTCTGTACCTGAGACACAAGACGAGATGTCAGAGAAACGAGCTGTTGATCTGCTGCAGGTACAGTATCAAGAGACGTGTCAAAGAAAACATGTATTGTAGGATTGTGCGGGAGCGGGAGGACTACGCTGAAGAGACAAACTGTGTAGGGAAGAAAAATACACTTCAATTCGATGTGTTAGCAGCAACAACTCTACGGACTGTACAAAGCTGTCATACAGTTGAAAAACAAGAAATAGGCAATAATAACTAACACATGGGAGCCATTGGTCCATAGGGAGCGGGATGACCCCTGTCCAGATATCATCAAATCTGGATCATAGATAGATAGATACTTTACTGATCCTTGTAGGGCAAAGTCAGGTGTCCAGTAGCAGCAAAAATGAAAAATAAAATGAATCATTCTAAGCTAACAATCGTATTCATTAACAACAGTCCTTCAGGTCACAGCAGCAGAGGTGGAGAAGCCGCTTGGTCCGGATAATTTTCTCTGCTCTAGTCCAAAGTAAAATGCTAAATACTTCAAATGTTTCAAAAAGTTAGCATTCCTCCAGTGGATTTGCACCTGATCCACTTGGTTCGGACCATGAATCCTCTCTGCTCCGGTCTGGACCAGTACAAAACCATGACACTGTATTGCAGCAATATTTCAGGTAGAAAAAAGCACTTGTAAAACACAAAACAACAACTGTTTTAGAGCTATTTAGGACCAGCCCATTCAAAAGTAAAGGATCATCTCTGTCCTTAGACTCTCCTTAGGCTGTAGATCCAGGACTGAGGCTGTAGATCCAGGACTGAGGCTGTAGACCCAGGACAGAGGCTGTAGATCCAGGACTGAGGCTGTAGACCCAGGACTGAGGCTGCAGATCCAGGACTGAGGTTGTAGATCCAAGACTGAGGCTGTAGATCCAGGACTGAGGCTGTAGATCCAGGACTGAGGCTGTAGATCCAGGACTGAGGCTGTAGATCCAGGACTGAGGCTGTAGACCCAGGACTGAGGCTGTAGATCCAGGACTGAGGCTGTATGATACTGTAGATACCAAGGTCGGATTCTGAAAAGGCTTACAGGTGGGAAGGGGGGGATGCAGCTCACAAGTCTGAGCCGTGGGGTGGACCAGATGTGCAGGTTCAGGTGTCCCATCATCACGCCATGAAACAGACTAAGTGACAGCAGGTGAATAGCAATAAACAGACGACAACTAAAGCAGGAGAGAGGAGAGGATAGTGCTGTTACGGTCCTTCTCCCAGTGAAGTGTCTCCATATGCAGCGTAATTGACAATCTGTGTGTTTTGACTTAAGGTGGTACTGCTGATCACTGCACACTATTGAATCCAAATAAACAAATCCAATATGTGAATGTTCTCAGTGTTACCTGTCTAATTCCTTCAGCAGATAATTTCAGTAAACACTCTGGGCGTTTTGTGGAGCTCTGAGAACCCAGGGCTGCAATAAACTAGTGTGGGCGTCTACATAACAAGGAGAGACAATTATAAATGGCTGACTACTTTGTCTCTTTGTCATTGTCTTTGTAATTACTGCTTTGTCTGAGTCGTAAAACCTCTACGATTGCTACAGGCTTCGATGAGTGGGCCAGCGACGTCTCGTTCTACTCCAAGTTCAGCTGTGGGATTTTAGCTCCGGTTTTGTCGTGTTGTGAGTGTGGACTCAGATGGAAAAATTATGACGCGAAGCTGCTCTGCTTCTCCCCTCACTGGTCTCTCTCTTGTCTCTCTCTGGTGTCTCTTTGGTCTCACTCTGGTCCTTCTCTGGTGTCTCTAGTCCCTCTCTCTAGTCTTTTTCTGTTCACTTTCTGGTTGCTCACTGCTTTCTCTCTGGTCTCTTTTTTGTCTCTCTCTGGTGCCTCTAGTCTCTCTGGTCTCTTTCTGGTCTCTTGATCTCACTGTTCTCTCCATGTAGTCTCTCTCTGGTCTCTCTCTCTTGCTCTCTCTCTCTAGTCTCTCTCTGGTCTCTCTTTAGTCTCTCTCTAGTTTTACTCTGCTCTCTCTCTCTAGTCTCTTTCTGGTCTCTCCCTCTATCCTTTCTATTGTCTCTCTCTAGTCTAACTCTGCCCTCTCTCTCTCTAGTCTTTCTCTACTCTCTCTAGTCCTTCCCTGGTCTCTCTCTCTCTAGTTTCACTATGCTTTCCCCCTCTCTAGTCTCTCTCTGGTCTCTCTCTCTAGTTTCACCTGCTCTCTCTCTGGTCTCTCTCTCTAGTCTCACTATGCTTTCTCCCTCTCTTGTCTCCCTCTGCTTTCTCTCTCTCTAGTCTCTCGCTGGTCTCTCTCTCGAGTCTCACCCTGCTCTCTCTATTCTTACTCTACTCTCTACTCTCTTCCTAGCCTATCTGTAATGGAAGAATTATGAAACAAAAGCTGTTCAGTTTCTCCCCACACTCGGTGAACCCTTCCTGGGTGACATCTGTCGTGCTTGGTCCCCATTTTGTGTTTCTTGTGGAGGAATAATCGAGTCTTGTATTGATTTGTACGCCTGAAGACGCTCCAAAGCCTTTTGTGTTGGACAAATAAAGCCTTCTGTATAGAGAGAACGTGACGCGCTGATGTAACATACTGTTACTCAGACGGCAATTAGCGGCGTCACTTTCCTCCGTGGATCTGCCGCCTCTCCATCGATTTGGATCCATTGTCCCTGGCATCATGTACGTGCTTCTGTCATGGCAGTCTTGGTCAAGCACATAAATACATTTGTTTCAATTCATGTGGCAACATTATAAGCAACAGCAGTGTCAGCGTCCCAACATTTGTTGTGTTTTCTTCACAATCTTATGCCAATTTAGGAAAATGTTCACATCTCTCTCTGGTCTCCCTCTGGTTTCTATCTAGTCTCTCTCTCTAGTCTCTCCCTGGTTTCTCTCTAGTCTCTCTCTGATCTCTCTCTGGTTTCTCTCTAGTGTCGCTTTAGCCTCTCTGGTCTTTTTAGCTAGTTTCTCTCTAGTCTCTCTCTCTAGTCTTTCTGGTCTTTCTCTGGTCCCTCTCACTGGTCTAACTCCCTCTAGCCTCTCTGGTCTCTCTCAGGTCTCTTTGGGCTCTCTAGTCTCCCTCTATTCCATCTTGTTTGTCTCTCTCTAGATTCTCTCTGGTCCCTCTTTCTCTCGCCTCTATTTGGTGTCTTTCTTGTCTCTCTCTCTCTCTCTCTAGTCTCTTTCTGGTCTCTTTCTGTTCTCCCTAGTCTTTTCATCCACACCATACCAGAGTTATGTTTCTATGTATTTGTTTTGGTCACGATTCGTCTTTAAAGATCGACGCGTGGATTGACTAACACTTTATGACTCATGTTTAGTGGGAGCCAGAATCTTCTGCTTCCCACCGTCGATAATGACGATTCCCATTAGACGATCAATACACAGCTGTAAATCCCCCCTGACATTCACAACCTATAAAACCGTTGCACTTTAATGGATGCTTTTTGACAATATGCATTTAGCTTGCGTGTGCATTCTTTGCTTAATGCGGAAGAGGTATATTTGAACTTAAGATAGCTGGAGCCAATTTCCTTATATGGGCATTTGTTTTGATGCTGTTAGCGTGGCGTCGTAACTGGGGCAGACGTGTTGCTACAATGTTTGCAAAGGCAAGCTGGAGTTTTCCCACAAATTAGGGCATCTGATTGGTCAATCCAAATATGGCTCATATATTACAGACATTATTACAATACAAACACCAGGATGACAGAGAGAGATTAAACACAGATTTTTTAAGCCCAAAATGGTGAATGTGACTAGAGGAGATTACTTACATGTATTTTCTTTTGAATGCGCTGGAAATGGCAGAAAGTCCTAAGTAGCTCTGAAACAGATGTTTTTTTGTGCTTTACAATTGTTATTTTTCTTGCTTTTTTTCTACCTGAAATGTTGCTGCAATACAGTGTTCATGGTTGTACACTGGTCCAGACCAGAGCGGAGAGGATTCATGGTCCGAACCAAGCGAATCAGGCGTAAATCCACCGGAGGAATGCAAACTTTTTGGAAAACCAAAAACCATTTAGCATTTTACAGTGGACTAGAGCAGATAAAATGGTCTGAACCGGCTACTCCACCTTTTTACCCGTCTTACCCCACCCAGCGGCTTCTGCACCTCTGCTGCTGTGACCTAGAGTGCTGTTTCTTATTATTAGTATTGTTAGCTTTTTAGAATGATCAATTTATTTGTTTTGTGTGTGTGGATGGATATGTTTTTGCTGCTGCTGGACACCTGAATTACTGCTACGGTGCTCAATGAAGTATGTATCGATCTATCTATCTATCAATCTATCTTTCTGTCTATCTATCTGTCTATCTATGTCAGTAAATCAGAGACAGAGAGAGTTGGAGCAAAGGTATTTATTCTACACTCATGTACATAGACAGTTGTAGCTTATACAACATTGACACTTATAATGAAACAGTCTATAATGAAACCATTTTTTGATAAGCACAGACGACACAACGCTGTATAAAACCCCATTTACTTTTCAAATACCTACAGTTGTGTTTTTTTTTTTAGATTGTTCCTTCACTCTCGAGTTATTGCAGCAGCCAAACATCCTGTATTTCTCGGGTGGATGTATCACATATACACAACCTTGAATCAATGTTTGAAGACGGATGTTGAGTTTGTCCGTATTTTGGAGGGCGAGTCTGTAATAAAATACTCCTGCTGCTGCTGCTGCTGCTGATGATGATGATGATGATGCTGCTGATGCTGCTGATGCTGCTGCTGTTGGGAGAGAGCGGCTTCACTGAACTGTGTTGTGCCAATTTACTGTATGCCCCAACAATGTGGATTCCTCTGGCATCGCACAGAAGCAAACAAGACACAGACACAGCTCAGAAACTCTGGCCAGAATAACATGTTTGTGACGTGAGAGCGCCAGACTCCGAACCTGTGTCTCTGGAGCCGCTTTGGGACCACTTCTCATGTTGCCATGTTCAGTTATTGTGTTGTTTTGGATCAGATCACAATGTATCCACTCTAACCGTACCTACTCTACTCTACTCTACTCTACTCTACTCTACTCTACTGTACCCTACTCTACTCTACTCTACTCTACCCTACTCTACTCTACTCTACTCTACTCTACCCTACCCTATTCTACTGTACCCTACCCTACTCTACTCTACTCTACTCTGCTCTACTCTACTCTACTATACCCTACCCTACCCTACCCTAATCTACTCTACTCTACTGTACCCTACTCTACTCTACTCTACCCTACCCTATTCTACTGTACCCTACCCTACTCTACTCTACTCTACCCTACCCCACCCTACTGTACTCTACTCTACTCTGCTCTACTCTACTCTACTCTACTCTACCCTACCCTATTCTACTGTACCCTACCCTACTCTACTCTACTCTACTCTACCCTACCCTACCCTACTGTACTCTACTCTACTCTGCTCTACTCTACTCTACTCTACTCTACCCTACTGTACTCTACTGTTCTCTACACTACTCTACTCTATTCTACTCTACCCTACCCTACCCTACTCTACTCTACCCTAATCTTCCCTACTCTACCCTACTCTACTGTACTGTACTATACCGTACCCTACTTTACTGTACTCTACTCTACCCTTCCCTTCTCTACTGTACACCACTCTACCCTACCCTACTCTACTGTACTCTACTCTATTCTACACTACTGTACTCTCCTCTACTCTACTATACCCTACCCTACTCTACCCTACTCTACTCTACTCAACTCTACCCTACCCAACTCTACTCTACTCTGTTCTATTCTACTGTACCCTACCCTACTCTACCCTTCTCTACTCTTCTCTACTCGACCCTACCCTACTCTATTTTACTCTACAGTACTCCACTTCTTTACTCTTCTAAAGAAGGACCTGGTACTGGTTACAGTCTGACTAATACTATTCAAACCTGTGCACATGTTGTCTTGTTTACAACTACAAGCATGATTATTTTTGGTTGTTTTTAAAGCTCCAACCAAGCAAAGTATAAAAATAGTAAGTAAGAGTAAAAGTTGCTGTTTCCAATCACAGCAGAAAGTCTTTAGACAAGCCTTGCACATCTAGAGACTGCATGTTTTCAAAACAGATGCACTTCATGACTGACTGTTACTCTGTTGGGCTTTGAGAATCAAATCAGAAAATAGGGAAAAATATCATATGGGGTAGTAATATACAATCCTGACTTTTTTGAGAGAGAGACCTTCACCTTCATGCATTCAGGGATGCTGCTTTGGTAAATAGAGCTGACCTGAGGGAAACCCAAAGGGGATATAGTCTACTAATTATCATGTACTTTATCTATACATATTCATCTTCCGTTGTAGGCAGTTTTGGTTTATAATGAAAGGCCGAATAATTCCATCATAATTGACTCTTATGGACAAATGGCTCTATGTTTGTTTTTTTATTTTTGCATTTCTTGTGTTTGAACTGTTTGATTCTCTGATCTGTGTTGGCGAATCAACAACTTTGTGAAGTCCTAATAGATAAATACTGTTGTGATTTAGGGATTTAGAAAGACCAGAGTTAGAGGGCGACCATTGGAAAAAGAGACCAGAGGGAGACTAGAAAGAGAGGCTGGAGGGAGAGAGACCAGAGAAAGAGACAAGAGAAAGACTACAGTGGGAGACCAACTAAATAAATCAGAGAGTCTAGAGAGCGAGACTAAAGAGAGAATAGAGAAAGACTAGAGTGAGAGACCAGAGAAAGAGAGAGAATAGAAATGAAACTAGAGGTTAGAAAATAAACCAAGAGAGAGACCAGAAAGAGACCAGAGAGAGAGAGACCCGAGGGGACACTTCAAGACATCTTTATGAGAAAATAATCAGACCTCAGTTGCTATAGTATTTTCCGACAAAGATGAGAAACTGTGATTCCTGTCGACCTTTGAACAGGTCTGAGGATGCATTTCCACCTCTCACAGAGCACCACCCCCTCGAGCCTCCGGTGTCATCTCTAATCTCGGGTGTAGCTTGATTCTCGCGCTTTGAGTGGATCATGGGCCCAAACCGGCGCATGATGGATGTCTGGATCTGGTAAATGTGGCTGTTTGGCGGCGAGAGCACAGCTGGACCATGTGGAGCCAGCCCGATTTCACAGTCTGTCTGCTCAGGAGCTAAGAGGCTTCACCATGTACCGTACCATCTGAACCAACACGCAGGGACTTTGGTTAAGTGGCGTGAACTGGAGTTAGTCTTTGAGCAGCCGGGCAGAGCGTGTGGAAGTATTTGGACTTTGAATTAGGTTTTTGGATATTTAAACAGAGAGAGACAGAGCGTTAACAAAGCACGAAACCCAATTATCCACAAACTATCTTTGGTCTCTCTTGTCTCTCTCCCTAGTTTCTGTCTCTAGTCTCTCTCTGGTCTCTCTCCCTAGTTTCTGTCTCTAGTCTCTCTCTGGTCTCTCTCTCTAGACTCTGTCTCTAGTCTCTCTCTGGTCTCTCTCTCTAGACTCTGTCACTAGTCTCTCTCTCGTGTCTCTGTCTGGTCTTGCTCAGGTCTCTCTCTCTAGTTTCTGTCTCTAGTCTCTCTCCGGTCTCTCTCTGGTCTTTCTCGCTGATCTCTCTCGCTGATCTGTCTCTAGTCTCTCTCTGGTCTCTCTCTAATCTCTTTTTCTCTAGTCTCTCTCTCGGCTCTCTCTCTCTAGTATCTATCTCTAGTGTCTCGCTGGTCTCTCTCACTGATCGCTCTCTCCCTAGTCTCTCTCTGATCTCTCTCTCTAGAATCTGTCTCTAGTCTCTCTCTGGTCTCTCTCTGATCTCAGTCTCATTAGTCTCTCTCTTTTGTCTCTGTCTGGTGTTTCTCTAGTCTCTCTCTAATCTCTTTCCCTCTAGTCTCTCTCTCTGATCTCTCTCTCTCTAGTCTCTCTCTTGTCTTTCTTTCTAGTCTCTCTCTGGTCTTTTTCTCTAGTATCTCTCTCTAGTCTCTTTCTGGTCCCTCTCATTTCATGCGATTGATGAATATGCAGTTTTAACCTTGAGAGTGCAGACTGAGAAGTGAAAATCCAGTCTATTTGGAGCTGGATCTACTGCATTTGAGCGACATGTACATTCAATCACAACACAACACAATAATAACAAACACATATAGGAGCCATTGGTCCGTAGAGATCGGAATGGGGAATCGGAACATTTTCAGTCTCTGGATTAGTGCTCAGGTCCAGGGAGTCCAGGGTTTCAGACTGTGTGGTGCAGTATTAGTACTTTTGCAGTACCTTTGCCTCTCTATGTGAACTCCTCCTACAGTCATTCCTTTTCCTCTGCGTTCATCCGTCTCTTGTGCACACTGGATTCTTTAGCACATATGTTCCACTGTGGTTAAAACGGCAAATGACAAAACAACTGGATATAAATATGTTTCATTTTCCGAATTTGGCCACGGTTAATTGCATTAAACTCTTTGAACAAAACTGGACAAAATTCTTGCCCTGATACAACCTCTGTTTTGACGCAGCGAGGAGATTAATCCGTTTGGCTGCGGCCTGGCCTCTCCATCTGTGCAGCGGTGATGGGACTCCCTGCAGCAGCTCTGGGCTCGTGCTCTGGCTGCTTCTGGAGAGGCCTGTAAGCTCTATCCCCCCGAGGGACCTGGGTTTTGGGGGAAGCTCCAGGCTGAAAATGGCTGTGGACGGGCCAGCGGTGGGACGGTGCCAGGACGGTTTTCTGTTGGAGACTAATTTGAATCAGTTTAACAATTTGCAATTTTTGTGTTTTTTATAGCCACCTCAATTTCGAAATGTGGTTTGCAACAATTGTAGACTCTAGTCTGTCTCTCGTCTCTCTACAGACTCTCTCGCCTATCTCTGGTCTCTCTCTCTTGACTCTCTCTGGTCTCTCTCTGGACTCTGTATGATGAGATTTGAAATGCCCTGAATGTGCAGTTAAACTATATGATCTGAATGTATGGTTGTGTTAATGACATGTGACTGAGTAGATGTATTGTGCATGTGTGATGCTGTGAAGGAGGTGTGGTTTTAGCAAAAAGGAATAAGGCTAAATGTGTGTGTGTGAGTCTGTATCAGAGTGTGTTTGTGATGGTATTTCTTTTGGATTGTACATGTTACTGTATTCTGCAACATGTATGGACATTTATCAACATGCGTTCTATATTCTTTATGTGTTTTAACTGTTGATTCTCTGATCTGTGTTGGTGATTTCAATGGTTTTGTTAAGTCCTCTGAGATGACTACGGTTGTGATTTAGGGCTATACAAGAAGAAATTGTATTATACGGAAGCTTGTTTTTTTTGTCAGCTTCTTCTGATAAATTGGTATCATGAAATAACATGATAAGTTTTGTATCGTGAAATAACATGATAGTTGTGTATCATGAAATAACATGATAGTTGAGTATCATGAAATAACATGATAAATTGGTATCATGAAATAACATGATAAGCTTCCGTAGTATTAAATTGTATTGTACTGTATGTATTTTATGTATATAACCAGGGACCGCAGATGGAAACTAGCTGTTTAGCTAAAATCTGGTGCAGAACATATCTGTCTTCAAGCTTAATGTCTCTGTACATTGTCCCTTCAAATAAATACTAAACTAAACTCTCACTCTAGTTTCTCTCTTGTCTCTCTAACGTCTCTCTCTGATCTCTCCCTATAGTCCCTATAGCCTATTTCTTGTCTCTCTCTCTTGTCTCTCTAAAGTCTCTCTCTGATCTCTCTCTATAGTCCCTATAGCCTATTTCTGGTCTCTCTCTTTTGTCTCTCTTTTGTCTCTCTGATCTCTCTCTAGTCCCTATAGCCTATTTCTGCTCTCTCTCTTTTGTCTCTCTCTGATCTCTCTCTAGTCCCTAGAGCATATTTCTGCTCTCTCTCTTTTGTCTCTCTCTAGTCTCTCTGGACTCTCTCTCTAGTTTCTCTCTCGTCTCTCTATAGTCGCTCTAAAAGCCGATGAGAGAATGTCCTCTTATGCTGAGGTTTGCCCCCGGACCATAGTTTGAACAACAATCTACTTCAAGCCTGAGATACAGTACATGTAAACAGTGAAAAGACTTCTCACTCTTCTCATTTAATCTCATTCTCTGTGTCCTTAGTCTTTTCTTCATCTTTTTATTTAGTGTTGCCGTGGCAGCCATAAATCAGCCGCTGTAAACGAGGTGATAATGAATAGTAGCGTCAAAGGACAAAGCTGAGAATGTGGAATATTAACATTATGGTCTTAATGAAACATGTGCTGTCTCTTTTTCCCATCACATTAATTGCCAATAAATCATTTGATTGACAGTGGAGAGTGATTACAGGAAAATGTTCTTTGAAATAAAAACACGCACAGGGAAGTTGCTTATATAATAACATTTATTCACCAATAATTGCAATATGTCTCTTGTCTTTCTCTTGTCTGTCTCTTGTCTGTCTCTCTCCTTTGTCTCTCTCTCTGGTCTCTTTCTTGTCTCTCTCTGGTCTCTCTCTCTAGTCTCTCTGGACTCTCACTCTGGTTTCTTTCTTTTCTCTCTCTTTTCTCTCTCTAGTCACCCTTGTCTTGCTTTGTGGTCTCTTTCTTGTCTATTTCTGGTCTCTCTCCTTTCTTTTTCTCTAGTCTCTGTCTATTTTCTGTCTCTCTAGTCTCTCTCTTTTCTCTCTCTCTAGTCTCTCTCTCTTTTCTGCCTCTTTGGTCTCTCTCTCTGGTCTCTCTCTTTTCTCTCTCTCTCTAGTCTTTCTCTCTGGTCTCTTTCTTTTCTCTCTCTCTTTTCTCTCTCTCTGGTCTCTTTCTTTTCCCGCTCTCTTGTCTCTCTCTCTGGGCTATAAATAAATGCACAAATCAAGGATCGACTGTGGAAAGTAATGTTTATAACCCGGCCTCCTCCTTGGTCCTCGTGCCGTAGCCTCAGTCCTGGATCTACAGCCCGTCCGTCTGTGGGAGCGGATCCCTCTCTCAATCCCTCTCTTTTCCACTGGGTTTTAGAGTTGTTCCTCTCTGATGCAGGAGGGTCTAATTTAAAGACAGTTATGATCCAGGACACTCAAAATTCAACACCATTTTTGGACATTGGTCTCTGCCCCTTAAGAACCAATACATGTGTTTTCTATCATTTCATTTCTTGTGCTTGAACTGATTGATTCTCTGATCTGTTGTTGGCGAATTCAACGGTTTTGTAAAGCCCTCTGAGATAACTGCTGTTGTGATTCAGGGCTATACAAGAATGCATTGAATCTTTGCTTTTTGTTCACAGCGTCAGTGGAAACAGCTGCACAGACTCTGATAGAGGAAATATATACACACAACTGCATTTCTCACATTCATCTTGGAAAAGCAATATGTGAGATTTTCATGTCAAGTCATCCTTAAACGGCCCTAATCCGACAAAAGGCATTAATAAAACATGCTCTTTTCAAATACTTCTTGAACTCATAACAGAAGTTCAAGCCAGATTATCAAATTTACAGCCCCTACATCTTGTTATTGTTTTCATTTCAATGTCCCGCCCTCCACTGTTTCACCAAATGAGAAAGTCTGGGATCCGGGTTGCCAGAACTCACAGTGTCGAGCTGATATCACAGGTAAAGTACCATGTGGCGGCAAAAATAAAAAATTCTTGTTATGATTCTCAAATAATTCATGACAAAACAAGGAATACAATAAGGATTTATTTTTGGGCCTTTGTGTTGGTGTTGGTTATAGATTGTTGTTGCTGTTCGGCTGTTATGGTCCCAACTGGATTTGTCTGCATATCTGGCAACCTGAGTCATGGAGAGTGCAGTACCACGTTCGGCTATATTTTTTTTAACGTATTGTTCCTTTAAATCCATTGTATTCAGAGACAATAGTTGCTGTTCGATCTTCAGTCCAGCTTTTTGGCTACTGCAGAACACTGTCCCAGGACACAAACATGGAGCCCTCTGCTGCGGTGGGATTCTGTGGGGTTTGGATCACGTTGGAAGGATGGAAGAGGTGCAGTCTGAGGCAGGAGACACAAGAGACAAGAGCTGAAGTGGCTGCTGTGTCCAGAGAGAGCCGAGAGAGAAAAGACAGAGAGAGAGAGAGAGAGAGAGAGAGAGAGAGAGAGAGAGAGATACAGTGGTGTTAAACAGGCTCAGACACAATTATCCCCAACTTCACAGCTTCTTAAAGAGCCTGAAGAGAGCATTTCCGAGTGCGGATACATGTAGTATATTGAACTTAAAGTCCTCCGAGATTACTACTGTTTGGATTTAGGGCTATACAAGAATGAAATAAATTGAATTGAATACGCCAAACCGTTGTAGAAATTTACTATTAGGCTCCAACCCTTTACAAAGCTGTCTTTTCACCAACACAGATCAGAGAATCAATCAGTATGAACACAAGAAAAACAATCAAAACAAATGACCATTTGTCCAACGGGAATGTCTCGGAAAATGTCCCGGATCGTCACTGTCCTTAGACCCTCCCGCATCAGAGAGGAACCACTCTAAAAACCCAGTGGGAAAACAGTCAGAAACTCTTCACAGCAAGAGAGTCATGTGTCCAACTCTGCCTCCAGACAGGGCCTTGCATTTTCTCTCCGTGTCTGCATAGGTTTTCTCCAGGTGTTCCGGTTCGCCCTACCACTAAAAACACGTACACTAGGTCAGACTCCTGTAGGGACCACACTTCCACTCTGTGTGTGGAGTGAAAGACAAATGACACATTAATTATCAAATGGCTTTATGGATCTGTCTGTAAAATGCACTATATAATGATAATAATAAAGACCAGAGAGAGACCAGAGAGAGAGAATAGAGAGACCAGGGAGAGCAGAGAGAGAACAGAGAGAGAACAGCGAGAGAGACCAGAAAGAGAGACCAGAGAGAGAGAACAGACAGACCAGGGAGAGCAGAGAGAGACCAAAGAGAGACCAGAAAGAGAGACCAGAGAGAGAGAACAGACAGACCAGGGAGAGCAGAGAGAGCAGAGAGAGAGAGAGCAGAGGGAGACCAGAGAGAGACCAGAGAGAGAAAATAGAGAGACCAAGGAGAGAGAATAGAGACCAGGGAGAGCAGAGAGAAGTAATAATGTATACATACTAATAAATACTACTTTGATTAAAAAAACATTGCATATTTTATTGTATAAGTATGAACTTAATATTTACCTGATTGCAGTCTTCACAGTCTCGCCTTGGGTCTGGTCGAGAGTCCAGTCCTATTTAAAACCAGGTTCCAGAATTCTGTCACTTTGGTCACTTAGGGAGTGTGTGTAGAGTAGATGGAACAGCCCTGGTTTGGGGTTTGGCTCTGGGAACAGCTTTGTGGTTCTGTAGGGGCGGGTTCACTGTTAGCATCTCATGGAAAGTTGGCAGAGGGAGACCAGAGCGAGACCAGAGGGATACCAGAGCAAGACGAGAGTTCACACAGAGAGACATCTGCGGCGCCCCCTGTGGGTCTTCCCTGGGGGGACTGGAAGGAGGCTGGACAAAGCTGACCTGCAGGGAAGTGCTCAGAGATGGAGTTTGTGATCTCATGGCTTTTGCTTCTTTCATTCAATCATTTTCAACCTGTTTGTCCATTTCAGTCCATTTTATCACCCATGCATGGATATTTGATCCAAAATAGAAGTTTATAGGACAACTCACCCTCAAATCCACTTTATTTTGCTGATAAACTGTATAAATGTCCAATAGTGTTGTGTACATACCCTGGTCATAATTTTGTCACTTTAGAGCAAATTGGTTGAAAGTTAAACTTTCTGCCTAAAACCGTCTGTGAGGCGCCATCTGCAGGCAACCTGTATTTACTACATTTGAATTTTGAATCTGGCACCAACATTGGCGCAGCAGTGATACCTGATGTCTGCAGTGAATCAGTTGCCCTGCCGCCCAGTGAGCGTGAATGGCCCAGTCTCATTCACACCCCACTAGCGAAGGAAGCAAGGAATAGTATAGAGAGTATTTTCATCAATTGTCAGGTTTGCAATTAGCATTTAGGTAGATATTTAATAGCATAGCTGTTTGTATTATAAATAATTGTGTAGCGTTAATAGCGTTGTTGTTGAATATTGGAGTTTTAGTCACTATATCAGAAGTCACTATTGCCCCCCCCCCCCTGTCCCCTTCAAGCTCACCGCACACCGAAACGCAGCGCCTCGCGGCGCGTCATTTGACGCGCGTTCATGACATGTGTCAAATTACACCGGAACGCCTTGGCTAGCGTCCTTTTCCAGCTGATCGCAGATGAAATGGGTGAGTGACGTTTGGAAGTTTCTACTAATATTTTAATAAAATAGCTACAATTACCTATTGTTAGCTTACCTGTACATTCAATTTCAAGTGAAATTGCTCTCCAGGCAATTTCCTTTCGCACGATATCCTTATAAAAAGGATTCTGTGGGTTAAATAGCTCTGGGTAACGCTGTACTTGGGTTATCAAGCTTTCCTCGTCCATTGTGACCGGTTTACTTGAGCAATAGCGCCGACAAGTGTGTAAATTTGAGACCGCGCTCACAGCTACGTGATAAGAAGCGCAGAAGAAGAAAACTACGGGTGCTTGGAGGGACAGTTTCAGCCGCGGCGCCGCGTCTGGATTCAACAAAACTGAATCGTGGCGCCCGGTCCAGCGTCGCCGCGCGTCACTGCAACCTTGGTGTGCGTTCTCTCATAGAAAATAAAGGAGGCGGCTCTTTTGCCGCGCGTCAAGGCGTTTCGGTGTGCGTTGGGCTTTAGTCCTCCAGGCTACGCCCATTTGGAGGAAGATTTGAACAGGAAATGTGAGTGACGTAAGCCTTAAGGAGCGGGGGTGAGAAGTTCTTTAAGTCTGTCACCTCTAGTGTTTTGAATGTTCTGGACACCATTGCTGCTGTGAAGGTTAAAATAGTGAAAAATAAGCAGAAGGCGCCGTGGGCTAAAGCAGACTCGGTCAGGGCACAGAAGAGAAAGTGCCGGAGGGCCGAGCGGAAGTGGCGCAAGTCCAACAACCAGGTTGACTACGAGATCTTCAAAGATTGGCTGTGCGAGTTTAACCGGGTGCTACGTAGTGCGACAGAAAGGTATTTTTCTGAAATGATTGAAGGCTTTAGTAACAATCTGCGTGTTCTGTTCTCAACAGTTAATAGATTAACAAAGCCCCCTGTTCAGATGCCATTAGAGCTAACTTCCAAACGTATATGTAATGAGTTTGCAATTTTTTTCAATGACAAGCGCCATTGTCTCCAATCCACAGATAACCATCCAACAGCCAGAAAGGCACTTTGAGGTAACTCACTTTGCACCTGTAGGTGATAAAAATGTCCAAGAGATAATCTCCAGTCTGAGCTCCTCCACATGCAGCCGGATGTACTACCCACTAGATTTCTGAAGTCTGTTCTGAGCAGTCTGTTACGTTCACTCACACAAATAGTAAACATGTACCTTCATTCTGGAATATTCCCAAAGGCCCTGAAAACTGCAGTCATCAGGCTCCTGCTAAAAAAGAGCAGTCTGGATGCTACGGTACTTAACAACTATCGTCCCATCTCAAATCTGCCATTTATGGGGAAAGTCCTTGAAAAAGTTGTCTACCTACAGCTTACTAGATTTCTTATAATCAACAACTCATTGGATATGTTTCAGTCCGGCTTTAGACCCCACCACAGCACTGAGACACTGACGCAGGCAAAGTCTCAATCTTAATCTTGTTAGATCTGAGTGCTTCCTTTGACACCGTCGACCATGAGATCCTCTTGCAGAGACTAGAGGACTGGGTCGGCGTCGCTGGCATCGCCCTAAGTTGGTTCAAGTCTTACCTTGAAGACAGGAAGTACTTTGTGGAGATTGGAGACTGCGTCTCAGATCATATGGCCCTGACCTGTGGAGTACCACAGGGGTCGATCCTGGGACCTCTTCTGTTCAATCTTTACATGCTGCCGTTAGGTCAGTTAATACGCAGAAACAAAGTGTCCTATCACAACTATGCAGACGACACTCAGATCTATGTCTCACTGACTGCAGGAGAACATGGACCAGTGGACTCACTCCTTCACTGTATCCAACAGATCAGTGAGTGGATGCAAAGCAACTTCCTTCAGCTAAACGCAGACAAAACTGAAATAATTGACTTTAGTCCAGAAACAAAGAGAGAGCGTCATCTGTCACCTACAGTCTCGCTCCCTAAAACCTTCAAACAAGGTCAGAAATCTAGGGGTAATACTGGACTCAGACTTAAATTTTAATAGCCACATCAAATCAGTAACATCAGCAGCTTTTTACCACCTAAAAAACATCGCCAGGATCAAAAACATAGTGTCTAAAGCAGACTTGGAGATTCTTATCCATGCTTTTGTCTCCATTAGGTTAGACTACTGCAATGGCCTGCTCACAGGTCTGTCCAAACAGGCTGTAAAACAGCTGCAGTACATTCAAAATGCAGCAGCTCGAGTCCTAGGACGTATGATTATATTAGTCCTGACTAGAACCAGGAAGTAAGATTACATTAGTCCAGTTCTCAGGTCTCTGCACTGGCTTCCTGTGGCTCAGAGCAGTGGTTCCCAAAGTGGGGGTCCCGACCCCCCGGGGGGTCGCGGGAACCCCTGGGGGGGGTCGCAAGATGATTTCCAAAAAAAAAAAAAAAACATTTTGCTAATTAATAGCCCTTAAATATTGATTTAGCATTTGATTTGATTCAAAAGAACTACTTGTTAAATTGTGTTAGGAGAATATAAAATATTTAAATTACGTTTGTAATTTTGTCCAGTCATTGACAGCGTCAGTCAAAATCAAGTTACGCAGCTTACGTCACGCAGCGACAAAGCGTGTCCTGCTGTTGTTTGCTAAAACTAAAGGTGTTTGGAGGCTTCAAACAAATAATACCTGCTTTAAAATGAAACGTGGTTAATATCCACAACAGAAAAACCCGGAGGGGGAGAAAAGTCACATGTGAGGTCAGGCTGATGGTGCGAAGAGAGGGAGAGAGGGCAGCGGAGGGAGAGAAGGCAGCGGTAGAAGAGGGTGGTAAAGAGGCCCGGCTTTTCGGAGTCAGTGGTAAAGAGGTCCGCACATTAAAAGCGGGTGGCTGCTTTATGCTGTTGCTTACAGTAACTTTGGAAAAAGAAGCCGCGGGGATGAAGCGCATAAAGTAACAGCAGAAAGCGGCCGCCCGCTTTTTATGTGCGGACCTCTTTACCGCTGACTCCGAAAAGCCGGGCCACTTTACCGCGGTATGAGAACAGAGAGGGCGAGCCGCAAGAAATGCGCTCCACTTCTGCTGAGAAGGGAGCCCACCAAGCCCATCACTGTGTCACTACGTGAGTAAAAATACGCAAGCCTCCTTTTTTGGGCTGGACAGTGCAGCTCAGTAGTGGCGCGAGTCTCTGTGTTACTCCGTATCAAGGAAATACATGCTCATTGACGGGAAGGACTGTTGAGGTGGGGGGTCGCGGGGGAGCAGCGCATTTATGATGGGGGTCGCGGGCTAAAAACTTTGGGAACCCCTGGCTCAGAGAATAGACTTTAAAACAGCTCTGCTTGTGTACAAGTCTCTCCATGGCCTCGCATCAAAATATATTAGTGACATGTTAGTCCCATATGAACCAGCCCGGACTCTGAGGAGCACAGGGACTGGACTCCTGTTAGTGCCCAGAGTCAGAACTAAACATGGGGAGGCTGCTTTTCAGATTCATGCTGCTAAAATCTGGAACAATCTTCCTGAAGATGTGAGACTGGCCTCCTCTCTGACAATGTTTAAAACCAGTTTAAAGACAGTTCTGCTTAGCTGTGCATACACCTGAGGGATTGTATATTTTCATCTTTCTTTTTAATGTTCTGTGATTATTTATGATTTTAATTCTTTCTTATTTTGTTCAGTACTTTGAGTTGCCTTGAGTATGACTTGTGCTATACAAATACACTTGCCTTGCCTACTGCTCAGGGTTGTGTGTGTCGTGTTTTAAAGTTCCACTGCCTCCTACTGGCCGGGCACTAGCACCACATGTTTTCCCGTGGTGGTGTGAACGCTGTGCAAAAGCTGAGAAGTGGAAGGAGACTAGATCAAGGGTCAGGGTCTTTATCTTCTGAAAAAAAAACAAAACAAAAAAATTGTATGAGCACAAAAGAACCCTGAGAGTCACAAACTGAGGCTTTGGGCTTAGAGCTGATTGGCTGAGTGAGGCTGGTTCTCTTGTTTTTCACTTTAATTTGAAACAAATCTGATGGAAAGATGGAGCCAGACTTTTCTCTAGAACCTTCTCTGGACATGATCAAAGGAGCAGCTGTAGGTTTTTATACTTCCTACACTTTTCTAAAATCCTAAACTCACCACGGTTGAACTGTTTTCTGCAGATTGTATTTTTTTTGTATTTAACCTGCGAGTGTCATGTTTTTCTGAGACGGTTTGTCCGGATCAAAAACACCAAGAACCAGAAACAGTGAAAGAATGAGATTTATGAAAAAACATCACACGTGGTTTTGTTGTTGTTTGGGGTTCATGTGGCATCGCTTCCAAACGGTTGGCAGCCGCACACTGGAGTCTGTGGTCTCGAGGCTTTGCATCCAGCTGATCCTCCAGGGGGCGCCAGAGATCCAGTCAGGGACAGAAACCCATGATCAGAGACAAAACTCTCCTTTCCACTGGTCACATTCATTCATTCATTCACACCATTTATGGTGGTACGATCAGCCACTACTGTAGCCATAGCTGCCCTGGGGCAGACTACGGAGGCTGCCAACCGAAGCCAGCCCCTCTAACCACCACCCGTTCAGAACCATGTGGGAGAAGTGTCTTGCCTCATTAATTCTGGTGTCTCTCATCCCTGACCCTCACCCTTTAGCCTCAGAGGCAGCGTGCATTAGCGGTTAGCCGTCAGCCTCATGACCACTAGCTTTTAGCCGTTTGTTGTTAGCCGTCAGCTGTTTTTATCCAGTGGCAGTAACTCTGATGTCTCTGTTTATGGAAGTAGATGTCACGGAAGTGGACGGGACTTAGGTGCAGGAGGGGCAGCAGGGGGGAGGGGGGACTAGCCCGGGCTTCCGGTGTAACGCCGAGATACACTGTCTTGAAGAGATGCACTGCCTCAGCTGTTTATGATGTAATGCAAACCTGCGCATGCGCGTCTCACGGCAGCCGAAGCAAACCAAGATGGCGGACCGTGAATTTATTTAAAAGTTAAAATAGGAACGAATTAAGAAACGAATGTTTTGTCACATGTGGGTTTTAAGAGTCAAAGTTTTGTGCAAAGTTTAGTTTAAGCAGTCAACTGCTCCTGTGAAACCACAATGCTAATGTTTTCATAGCAGCCTCCGCGGCTGCTGACTTAGGCTGATGACTCGTCCTGTGGCAACTCTACAGCGTACAACTGGTCTGTCGGGTTAATAATGGAAAATGGGGAAAAAAATCGATCTAATTAAATATTTCGTTTGAACACACTATTGTTAATCATATTAAATACAGTACGATACATGTATTAAATTAAATTTATTATTTCCATTATCAACCCGACAGACCAGTTTTTTTTGTCGTTTTTTTTTCGACAGACCAGTTGTGAGCTGTAGAGTTGCCACAGGACGCGTCATCAGCAATACATGTATCTATACTTTGTGTATCATACTGGTGCTACTGCAAAGAGACGCTGTGAAATGATTCCGACGATACCAAAAGGACTTCTCCTTCTGTGAGACCCTCGGGGGAGTCTCCTCATTAAAGGAGTTTGTACCGTGAGCAGTTCTGAGGCGACTGGACCCTCTCTGCCCCAACACGCTTCTCTGCACTTTCTTTTACTCAGTGATTGATCTGCGATCAAGTCCACACACGGGGAAAGTCCATAGACATAAGGATGACCTCATTCAGGAAGTACATGTACAATGACGGGGATCTCTGAGCCTGGCCTCCTCCATCTACACCTGCGGACTGCCCCGCCCGACCCGCCTGGGAGTGCTTCAGTCCTGCACCGGACCTGTCCACGTTCAGCGGCCACTGGTCCACGTTCTGTAGCTAGCTTAGGTCCTAGATCATTAGCCTGTCCGTCCGGAGGAGCGGATCCCTTTCTCAAATGGGTCTCCCTCCCTGTGGGTTTCCCTAGTTCTCCCCAAGGTTTCTCACTTTTTCCCACTGGGTTTTTTAAGAGTTTTTCCTTGTCGATGCAGGAGGGTCTTGTTGGACAGTTAGTGTCCAACAGAAAGGATTGGTGATGATCAGGACACTTTAGCATTCTTCAACATGTATGGACATTTTCTGTGTGTGCTTTATATTTTTCATGTGTTTTAACTGTTGATTCTCTGACCTGTGTTGGTGATTTCAATGGTTTTGTTAAGTCCTCTGAGATGACTTCTGTTGTGACCTAGGGCTATACAAGAAAAAATTGTATTTTAATTGTAGTGTATATATGGGCAGGGAAGGAAGCCCATGTTTAGTCATAGCAGGAAGGAAGTACATATTTGGTCACTCCATGGTATGAACCTTCACCCAGTTAAATGACCTTTGACACAGTTACATGACCTTTGACCCAGTTAAATGACCTTTGACCCAGTTAAATGACCTTTGACCCAATCCCATCAAATGTAATTCAATCACAGACTGACAGTAAAAATCATTGTTCAATGCATTTTCTTACGTTTCACATATAATTATACAATGTTTTTTTGTGTTACATCCTTCTTTTGAAACGAAGTATTGTCACTTAGAATCCAAGAGGATTTGATCCCGTGGCACGCTTCAGACTCTGGCATAGCTACAGGCTTCAGCATAGCTACAGGCTCTGGCATAGCTTCAGGCTCCAGCATAGCTACAGGCTCTGGCATAGCTACAGGCTCTGGCATAGCTACAGGCTCTGGCATAGCTACAGGCTCTGACATAGCTACAGGCTCTGGCATAGCTACAGGCTCTGACATAGCTACAGGCTCTGGCATAGCTACAGGCTCTGACATAGCTACAGGCTCTGGCATAGCTTCAGGCTCCAGCATAGCTACAGGCTTTGACATAGCTACAGGCTGGCACTCTTCTTCCAGGAGGCTGTTGAACTCCCTGACAAAGTCCTCATAACAATGTGTGGCTATGTAACCATAGTCAGTGACTCAGGTATTGGTTCCTTGGGTCCAGGTAGGACCATGACCTCGGGTCCAGTTAGGACCATGGTCTCGGGTCCAGGTAGGACCATGGTCTCGGGTCTAGGTAGGACCATGGTCTCGAGTGCCGTCACGACCATAGCCCCAGGTTCAGGCAAGGCCACAGCCGCATCGGAAAGGAACACAGCATCTTCTATTGGAGCACACCAGTGTGGTGGGCTCAGAGGTTCAGGGGACGGTGGTGGCGATGGCACCAGACCTTGAAAGTTAAAGCTAGGTTCCTCGTTCAACCTAGGCATTGGCAGGACGACTGAAACCTCTCTTTCAAAGTCTAGCGGTATTTCCATTGAATTATACCTGAACCTTTTAGTGGGGACAGGGTAAGGGGAGTCTCCAGATTTTTTAGCAGGAAAAGGATAAGGAGAATCCCTTGGCCTCCCAGAAGGGCGGGGAAATTTAGTATCTTCTGGCTTTCTAGCAGAGGTATGATGATGGGGACCTCTCGGCCAGCTAGCATGGGTATAACTTGGATCCCCTGGCTTTCTAGTAGCAGCCTGACAGTGGACTCTTGGCCTTCTATCAGGGATTGACCTCCTAGTAGAGATGGGACCACGGGAGTCCCCTGACTTCCTAGTGGGGATAGTGTACGGGGAGCCCCTATTCTTCCTAAGTGTTCCACTCCACGTACGGGCAGCTTTTCTTGGGTCTGTTGGTCGATCTACGGGCCCAGCCTTTCTTGGCTCTATTGCTCGCTCCACTGGTTCAGCCTTGAGTACTGGAGGGCTTACCCTAGCATGGACAAATCCACAGGCAGACAGCTCCTCAGCTCCCCTGGCAATGGCGATGATCAGGTGCGCATTGTTGTCTCTGGCCTCGGCCACGGTGATGTAGTCTCTCCATGCAGGCCTGCCTCTGCCCCGGTAGTGGAGGGGGCCTTCGGACCAGGGCTGCCCCATCTTGTCTGTAATGACAACATGTAGACGTACCAGTTGTCCGTAGACTATTGCAGGCCTCAGCTTCACGGTGCAGTCTGATCCTTTGGTCATGTAGCACTCCTGGATTGGTCCCATCATGGCATGACCAATGTTCTTGCCTCTGTTCTCCAGGTTAGCGTAGATGTATCCTAGAAACTCACAGACTGTGAAGATGCCTTATCCCCTCAGCGTGAATGGCTCCTTCGTCCTCCAGTCCATCAGTGTCAGCTCCACCAGCTCCACCATGGCTATCTCCCCCAGCTGCCTGCGTATAAGTCTTTGGCCCTCCTCAATCACTGTTAATTAAATGTGACCGGGACGCCAATGCAAGAGCCCTTCTAGAGCTGTGTGGTTTACAATCAAACCATTTCTGGTACCTTCTTTCAGTTTGTTTCATATTTTTTCTTGGATCAGAGTAGGTTCTGATCGGGGAGCTATCCCTTCGGCCCCTTTTTCCCAATTGAACTGGTCTGATATCTATATCTAACCAATACATTTGTTCTGTTGGAGATCAGTTTCCCCATCTGCAAGGTCCATTAGATATGATATGATTAGTCATAAATTTAAGCTTAACCTAAAAACACATCTCCCAAGGATTTTCTGATTTTTGACAAATTTTATGTGTTTGAGGACTGACGCCTAGCAGCACTAAGCGTAGCCATCCTAAAGCTAGAGGAAAGCTTTAGGTTGGCTATCTTGTATCTTGAAGATATATGTGTTTTGCATTTGGCTGCTTTTCTTTTTAATTCAAACGCTTCTAACTGAGTGCCAAATACCTATTTAGTTTACAGACTCTAGCAGAAGTCAAATCGATTTGTATATTGTGTATTTAAAAAGGACTTTTCATACAGTAGATTAAGAGAGAGTAGACATTTTAACGCACACACACACATACACAGATGAGGGTATTTCTCCTCTGATGTTGAAGCTGCACATTCTTCTTGGGAAAAAACCTCCCGTTCCAGTAACTTCCTGGTCCGCCTTGCATGAACTTTAGGTTTGAGATCTTCCCCAGAGAGACTCAATGATGTTTGGGGCATTCACAGTCGGCCTCACAATGAGTTCAAGGAAGAGCGTGAATATTCGCATGTGTGTTGCAGCACACGCAAGATACACGTCGCACAACATCCTCGCTCGGTGTAAAAGCGGCTACCATAGGGCAGCAAGCGCCCTGCTCTCAGTCCTCCCCCTGCTGTTGCACCGCATCAACAATCAGCCACTCAAGCTCTTGTTCATGCAGCAACCCTCCTCCTCCCCAGCTCCAACCCTCCTCTTAGCCACCACCTCCAGGTTCTAGGCCCCTGGGGATTTCATCTCATAATCTCTATTTTCATTTCCTTTTCTGCTCGGCCAGGGTCTAAATACTAAATCATAACGACACTTCATGTCGATAGCAATAAATGTAATTCTTGTAAATAATGTCTTCACATTTTTTTAAAGTGATTTATGCAGTAGCGATCATTAAATACAATTCTAACAACCCCTTTTTGTCTGACTCTCCCCAGTTTGAAGCAGTATTTGTGTGCACTGCAAGTTGTGATGAAAAATTAAGTCTAAACTTTCTCAAATTTGGCAAAATGTATCTGAGAACATTCTGCCTTAAAACATAATTTTCCAATGGGACAATTAGCAAATGTATCTTGTTTTAAAAGAGACAAACCGTGTATCCCTTGGAATGAGAAAATAATGCAATAGTTCTTGAAAAAGACTAAACCGCTTTGTCCCATCGGTACATCTTGTTGAGTGTTTACTTCAGTGTCTCTGTTTTGCTTCAGGCTCAGAACATATCTTTGACGCAGAGACCTCGTTCTCGCATAAACCCAGTCCCCCTCCCCCTCCTGCAGATCCCAGGTCCTCAGCTAAAGGCCTGATCTGGTCAAACCTCCAAACATCACTTCTCCTCAGCCTCTCCAGCTCACATTTGCAATTCATACATTTGTGTTTAGCTCACGTCCACAAAGCTATTCTTACACTGACTCCACAGGTGTGTAATCTGCTCAATGGGCAAACACAAACCAGGCTGAATACATCACAGTGTGGAGGGGACCGGGTCAGTCTCTGAGGACCCGGATCTTTGGCTGGACCTGGACTTTGGCTGCAGCTGCCTGTAATTGCTCCAGTTGCAAAGATAAGAATGAATGAGGGCTCTGCTTAAGCTGACTGCTGCGATAGAGGAGCAGGAGGATTATATTAAAGATGGGGTACCTATATTTTAAAGCACAACATAATTCTCAATACAGTTTATAGGTATAGGTATACAGGTATAGGTACATATACACACACACATATATATATATATATATATATATATATATATATATATATATATATATATATATATAATATATATATATATATAGGGTTATATATAGGGTTATATATATATATATCTGTCTTGACCTGGATGCTACTTGCATGATCGTGAATAACCGAGGCACAAGTGCTGCTTTCATTTGCCTGCGTCTGACCTGCAGCCATCTCATTCTGGCGTCAGCGAGTCCTCTGACTCTGACCTTGTTCTTTTACTTCTCTGAAGCTCGGGGAGCATAGTAGGCTATGTTTCCATTGCATTTGAACTGAAGATCTATGATTGCACGTATAACTTTTAGTTGTTTACATGCAGCGGCAAAAGTGATGCATGTGCAGCGGAGGAGCTAAAGAATTAAAATGGATGTGCAAATTAGTGTATGGGTCATAGACTAGAGTCTATAGTACCAGTCTTAGACTAGAGTCTATAGTACCAGTCTTAGACTACAGTCTATAGTACCAGTCATAGACTACAGTCTATAGTACCGGTCATGGACTACAGTCTATAGTACCAGTCATAGACTACAGTCTATAGTACCGGTCATAGATTACAGTCTATAGTACCAGTCTTAGACTACAGTCTATAGTACCAGTCTTAGACTACAGTCTATAGTACCAGTCATAGTACCGGTGCACTAAAAGCACATTCTTGGAGCATGGAGAGATGGCGTGACATCGCGTACCAGGACTGCTTTTACTTAAACAAGTGAAGAACAACTTTTTTGAAAATGTTTCAGAATCCCACTAATTTGAATAGTAAAAAAACATTTTTACAAATACGATTTCCAAGTGCTGGAGATAAAATGACATGTCCTACTGTTAAGTAAATTAGGAATCCTTCCATTTATCTTTGAATCTCTTGTAAGTCTTTGTTCCTGTTTGTACACAGTTTGAGATTCTTCGCGGCTTGTTCACCTGCTCCTTCTTTCTCCGAGCTGCTTCCCGACATTGCACTGCTACTAATTCTCTGACAAAAGCTCTTCATTTCGCTCTCTCTTGTTTCCAATTCTCCACACATTCACACAAACACATCTGCTCATTATGTGTTCAATGCTGCAGCTATTATAATACATGCGTTTATTCTATTTGGTTCCAGCACTGAGGCTGTAGATCCAGGACTGAGGCTGTAGACCCAGGACTGAGACTGTAGGTCCAGGACTGAGACTGTAGGTCCAGGACTGAGACTGTAGGTCCAGGACTGAGACTGTAGGTCCTGTAGGTCCAGGATTGAGGCTGTAGATCCAGGACTGAGGCTGTAGACCCAGGACTGAGGCTGTAGATCCAGGACTGAGGCTGTCGATCGAGGACTGAGGCTGTAGATTCAGCTCCTCATTCCACTCGCTCTTGCTTCCACTTCTCTTCACATTCACACAAACCACATCTGCTCATTATTGGTTTCTTGTGGCTGTATTTGCTTGGTTCGAAGACCGCAGCTAATATAATACATGTGTTTATTGCATTGCTTTAGTGTAAAGGGGCGTTTGGTGCAGAACACTGGACACATGCTGAATAATTAGCCTGTAATTAGGAGTATTACTGTGAGCTACCACTGCAGGGCCGAGAGTTCGTCAGAGCACTGGTCTCTGGAGGAAGGGCACTGTCAGACTAATTTATGCCCACACAGACAAGCTCCGACTTGGGCAGGGCGAGAGAGCGACTCCCCTGGGCTGGTTCTCACTCGCTTTGCCAGTTCACGATTCAATGGAGCTTATCATAAAACATTTGCCTCTTACAATATATTATTCATGAGTCACATTCAACAGGAAAGAGGACTGGACGTGTGGAGAGGACTGAGGCTGAGACTGACCAGAGAGAGACCAGAGAGAGACCAGAGAGGGACCAGAGAGGGACCAGAGAGAGACCAGAGAGAGGCCAGAGAGGGACAAGAGAGAGGCCAAAAAGAAACCACAGAACGACCGGAGAGACACCAGAGAGAGACTATAGAGCGACACCAGAGAGACAACAGAGGGAGACCAGAGAGAGAACAGAGAGACTAGAAAGAGAAACCAGAGAGAGACCGAGAAAGAGACCAAAGAGAGACCAAATCTAGATCAGGCAGAGACCAGACAGAGACCAGAGAAAGAAAAAAATACCGGACGTGTGGAGAGGACTGAAGCTGACGTCAGCGGTGTGAAACAAAATGGTGGCAATATTTCCTGGAAGTTGCGTTGATGGAGCTGAAAACAGTTGGAGTTATGTTGTTGAGGAGGTGAAATTATGTGGTAGAAATGTGTCCTTGTAAAGAGAGGCAGCTCCTTCAAAAACACTACAGTAGAAATATCTCATGAATGCGAATTAATGTATACAAACTCTGTTTTGAATGTTTTCAGCCCTATATATCTCACTCTGGTCCCTTAGTCTCTCTCTGCTCTCTCTCTCTGATCTCTCTAGTCTCTCTCTGGTCTCTCTAGTCTCTCTCTGGTCTCTCTAGTCTCTCTCTGGTCACTCTAGTCCCTCTCTGGTCTCTCTCCAGTCTCTTTCTCTGGTCTCCCCCAGTCTCTCTCTGGTCTCTCCCTGGTTCCTTTCGTTGGTCTATCTCTGGCCTCTCTCTAGTCTATCTCTGGTCTCTCCCTTGTCTCTCTAGTCTCTCTCGCTAGTCTCTCTTTGTGGTGTCTCTCTTTGGTCTTCTCTGGTGTCTCTCTAGTCTCTTTGATCTTCTCTGGCCACTTTCTTTGGTATCTCTCTGGTCTCTCTCTAGTCTCTTTGGATTTCTCTAGTCTCTCCCCGGTGTCTCTCTTGTCCCTCTGGTCTCTCTCTTGTATCTCTCTAGTCTCTTTGGATTTCTCTAGTCTCTCCCTGGTGTCTCTCTTGTCCCTCTGGTCTCTCTCTGATATAGAGATAGAGAATTAGATATTTTCCTTTCCTAGCTGTATCCTTGTTCTCCGGTTAGAATGTTCCCGGTCCTATAGATATTCTGCTAACACACAAAGAACTCTATACGCTCAATCATTCTAATAGTGTTGCTTCTTCTGATCTAGCCCAAAACCCTCCAACGTCAAATCCAATACAAACAAAGGCGAGCAGCCAAAGACAAGAACTTGTTAGCGGAGAAATTATGATGTTAAAGGGAAGTGAGTGAGATTGTGGTTATAAATACTGACAAATGAGAACGTCAACAAGATTGAGATTCAGTTTCTTTGCCGTTTGCAGTGAAAGCACATTGGAATAACTGACAATTTTTTTTTAGCTTTAATTAGAGGGAACCCAACCCAACCCTCAAAGGTGATTTGGGCTGGAACGTGGAACCAAATGTTCGCAGATTTGGCTGGAAGCATCAGTTGAGTTATTAGTGCTTATAAATAAACTGGACTGAGTTACCAAGAGCCAATCAGGAGCCAGTCTGTCCGTCTATCTGGCCTCTCTCTCTCTCTCTGGAGCGTTTTTCTGGTCTACCCCAGTCTCGCTCTCTCAAGTCTTTCTCTCGTGTCTTTCTCTTGAGTCTCTCTCTGGTCTCTCTCTGGTCTCCCCCTGGTCTCCCTCTGGTCCTTCTCTTGTCTCTCTCTCTCTCTGGAGCGTTTTTCTGGTCTACCCCAGTCTCGCTCTCTCAAGTCTTTCTCTCGTGTCTTTCTCTTGAGTCTCTCTCTGGTCTCTCTCTGGTCTCCCCCTGGTCTCCCTCTGGTCCTTCTCTTGTCTCTCTCTCTGGACTCTCTCTGGTCTCCCATTGGTCTCCCTCTTGTCTCCCTCTGGTCCTTTCTTTGTCTCTATCTCTTATCTCTCTGTCTGGTTTCTCTCTGGTCTCTCTATGTTCTCCCTCTGCTCTCTCTGTCTGGTCTCTGTCTGGCCTCTCTGGTCTCTCTCTGGTCTCTCTCTGGTCTCTCTGTCTGGTCTCTGTTTGGTCTCTCTTTAGTCTCCTTATGCTCTCCCTCTGGTCTTTCTGCTCTCTCTCTGGTCTTTCTCTCTGATCTTACTGTCTGGTCTCTCTCTGGTCTCTCTCTGGTCTCCCTCTGGTCTTGGCCGTGTCCAGAATTGTCATCACCGAGTCTCTCACAGAGAAAATCAAGTTTACGCCTTGTCATTTAATAACCCGCTTTTGCCTCTTCTCTTCTGTGTTTGTGTCAGCCCTGATCACAGAGAAACCAACTCGTCCGGATGGGGATAAACAAAATGCAGTATAGTTGTGTTTCATAATTTTCACCTGGAGAACAGAACAACAATTAAATATTGAACATCTCTTTAATAATGCAAACTTTACTGAACTGCAGAAAACAGATTAGTAAGAGAAGAGTGTTGGTGGCGGTTGTGGTCCAGAAGAGAAACATAAATACCAAGTTTATCTCTCTATAAAGTTTGTATAAGCTCTCAGTTGTACAGGGATTATTCAAAACACTATCGACCTTTCGTAACTGAAATACAGATGATGGGTGAGCAACCTTTCTTTGGTTAGTCTATGAAGTTATATGCTGTATCTAAAAGTTATATTTGGAGAAAGTTCAAGAGTAAAAGGAGACTGAAGGAGATACTGAGCTAATATTATTTCAAAGTCAAAGTTATGAGCTATGTAAGGCTGTAGATCCAGGACTGAGGCTGTAGATCCAGGACCGAGGCTGTAGATCCAGGACTGAGGCTGTAGATCCAGGACTGAGGCTGTAGATCCAGGACTGAGGCTGTAGATCCAGGACCGAGGCTGTAGATCCAGGACCGAGGCTGTAGATCCAAGGACTGAAGCTGTAGATCCAGGACTGAGGCTGTAGATCCAAGGACTGAGGCTGTAGATCCAGGACTGAGGCTGTAGATCCAGGACTGAGGCTGTAGATCCAGGACTGAGACTGTAGATCCAAGGACTGAGGCTGTAGATCCAAGGACTGAGGCTGTAGATCCAGGACTGAGGTTGTAGATCCAGGACTGAGGCTGTAGATCCAGGACTGAGACTGTAGATCCAAGGACTGAGGCTGTAGATCCAGGACTGAGGCTGTAGATCCAGGACTGAGGCTGTAGATCCAGGACTGAGGCTGTAGATCTAGGACTGAGGCTGTAGATCCAGGACTGAGGCTGTAGATCTAGGACTGAGGCTGTAGATTCAGGACTGAGGCTGTAGATCCAGGACTGAGGCTGTAGATCCGGGACTGAGGCTGTAGATCCGGGACTGAGGCGGTTTCCCTGCAGTATCAGTGTCAGTTTCTGTAAAATGCATGAGCTACACAAGAATCCACACGAGCTGCATGAAAAATTCAGAAGAAACTGTTTTATTAAAATGCAATGAAGCTCAGTCATGTTCCGATGAAATATTCACCTCTGAAACACATCTGCCTCCACTGTCTCTGTTGAGGAACACTGACACAGGTGCAAACAACACGCCTGCGTTTATCTGACTCTAAATCCCTCATTGTGTTCATTACAGCAATGAGACTGTTAGCATCAAGTTAGATTTACTCAGAGATGGGATTTGACGTTGACTCACTTGAGAAAAGCTGTGTCTGTTGATCCAGGACTGATCTACAGCCTCAGTCCTGGGTCTACTGCCTCAGTCCTGGATCTACAGCCTCAGTCCTGGGTCTACTGCCTCAGTCCTGGATCTACAGCCTCAGTCCTGGATCTATAGCCTCAGTCCTGGATCTTCTGCCTCAGTCCTGGATCTACTGCCTCAGTCCTGGATCTACTGCCTCAGTCCTGGATCTACTGCCTCAGTCCTGGGTCTACTGCCTCAGTCCTGGATCTACTGCCTCAGTCCTGGATCTACTGCCTCAGTCCTGGATCTACTGCCTCAGTCCTGGGTCTACTGCCTCAGTCCTGGATCTACTGCCTCAGTCCTGGATCTACTGCCTCAGGTTTTTGAGTGGTTCCTAGACGAATATCATTGCATTTCCTGTTTTCGAAAAGTGTGATTCTCTGATCTGTTGTTGGTGAATAGAAAACGTTGTAAAAGTCCTCCGAGACGGCTGCTGGTGTGATTTAGGGCAATAGACAAACACATTTGATTGAATTGAATTGAATAGAACAGTGTTTCTCAAA